AGGGAAAAAATGCTCAGTCCGTGAAATGTTCGAAACCTTGCTTTTGATCCTGTCCACATGCTCCGGTGGACCCCATGCCTCTCCATCACGGTTTCCTTTTATCAATGCATGATCTGTGGGTTATCTAACACCAATTTTTGAAGTCCAATCATGTGGGGCCCTGAAGTCCCGGTTTCTCAGCCTTGAAACCACTGAGACATCTCCTTATGTCCCTGTGCGAAGAGCTCCTCAGCAACAATGGTTTCTGGGGCACATGGATCTTTTTGTGTTTCCTCTTCTTCTGCTTCTCCTTCTTCCATGGCTTTTCATATGTTTCATTCTCCTCTGGCGAAACCATTTTATGCCTTGCTTCTCTTTCCATCCTGGCATCTATCTGGTTTTCGCATTTGTTTTCGATTAAATTCCTGCCCTTGATCCCGAATGCCTTCGACTCCATTGCTTGGACTCCCACTGGAAATTGTCACCACTATCTTGTACTCGCCTTGATTTCGACTGCCACTGAAACTCCGTTCCATGTCTTCCTACCATATGTCATCATCATCGTGGTCTGAAGGTTTGCTACCATCTCAGTTTCTGCTCCGTTGTGTGCTCAGTCTTGGCTCTGCTTTGGTTTTTCCCACGCGACCTGGCATCGAGCAAGCGCACACGCGAGCTGTCGAGATGAAATAAACCAACGAAAACACCAAACGGAGTAACACCAGTCCACTGCAAATCCTTTCGGGGTTGGATGACACATCTGGGATTGAGACGCGCAACATTTTGGCAAACACCGACCTCTCCTTAAAACAACCTGTTGGAACAAGTAGCTGTAGGACTCTTCTCACACGTGGCTTCGTTGGGGTCTACTGAACATGTGTCGCTCCACAACCCGACCAATTGACAAATGAGTTCTGTCGTGACTTTAAGCCATGCTTCTCTCATGGCATCCCGTGTCCACATCTTATATAACCTCGTTGACAAGCAGTTCGCCTTGCCAAGTTCAAGTCGTTGAAAACTATTCTGCGCAACAAAGTGTGCAGGGTTTGCTTGGCGGCTACTCTTTCTGAGTAGGCCAGCCGCTTCCTCTCTGATGTAACCCGACCGTTGTCTGTGAACAACTCGACTTTGTTATTTGCTGTCAATTTGGGCGCCTGCCTCTTTTCAAGTCGACTGTATTTTTGATCCCTGATTAATTACAAAAGTACCCCGCAAAGTCGGCCGGAGCCCAAGGCGGCTGGCGCGAGCATCGCCATTTCACTTGCTTCCTGAAACTATAGCGCCATTTTTTGGGGTCCGATCAGAAGCTTGGTTGTATTGTAGGACAAACCACCCACCATCCGCCTGCAAACTCCCAACGCAGTTTTGTAGGCCTCTGCTCCTGTCAACCTCTCTCCATCTTGAACGCGTTCAAGTTTGTAGGCATCCAACATTGCATGGTTGGGGGCAATCCTGCACATCTTGTTCTGCAGCCTCGAGCAAAGGAATGCACATGGCTATCTCAAGTAAGGTCCTTCTTCCATGAAGTTCAGCTGTCACTTGAAAACTAGCCACCGTGATTTCTCCACTTCCTCACGCGCGTGTTCCGAAGACTGACAGGTTTTCGCCCTTTTCTGAACGCATGATCATGAGCCTCTTGTTGATTCTCGTCAGGACTTTTTGCAAATCGTTTTACGGGTTCAAACTGCCCTCGTAAAATGCAACAACTTGCCACACATTTGTCGCACCGATGGCTTTCGGAATCAATGTGGTATGGTACGACCCCTTTTCGGACAACTTGATCTCTTCTCCAATTGCCAATTTTTGTTCGTGGTCTGCCTGGACAATCTTGTGGCCGATCACCTGGCAAGTCAACCTATGCACTGTTAAGCCTGACCCGTGACAATGAAACATCAGAGTCGGAGCCACTATGAAGGATTGCAGTGTTTCGGCATTCCGATTCATATCGACCTCCTGGAAACACTCCTGTTGGGCTCAGGTGAACTGCTTGAAGGTGCCACTTGGTCTTATGGGACTTGCGGCCACCCACACGATGTGGGCCAGTGTCGTAACCATGGCAAATCCTCACCAGGGTTCTTGCTCTTGCTCTTTCCTTTCTCGCCTTTCTGTTTGCACCTGTTTGCCCTTGCCTCGGCTACAGTTACGTCCTTGGCCTCTTACCTCCACTAAATGGCAAGCCATTCCATCATGACATTTGATTGCTCTTGTACTGCTCTTTCCTTTGTCCTCGGCGCGATCCACGGGATTGGTGTGTTCGAGGATGTGCACTGAGAAGTGCACCAGTTACCAGTGAGAAGCGTGCCAGTGATCTTGGAAAGGGATCGCCACATGAGCAGGCGGCTTGCTCAGATGGGTCATGGGGGGAGGTGATCCGATCAGTTGAGCTGCCACTTCTACAAGATCTAATCTACGTGAAGGTGATCTTGGCTCTCTGATCACCGAGCACACATGCAATTAATCCCACAAACCTGCCCGCACCGAGCCCGCAAGCCACCCGCAAGCCCGCATCGAGCCCGCGAGCCCGCGCCGAGCCCGCGCCGAGCCCGCGCAAAGTTGCGTACCTCAAAGCAACACTGGTACCACTCCCTGGGTTCCTCAAGGCCAAAAGAGTCGTTTTTGCAGAACTGAGCAACTTGCAAACCTGCAAAACCTCTATACGCGGTGAAGGGCTGGTGTCTTGGAGGAATGGAACCAACGCAACAGCAACCACCATTTTCGGCCAACATGCCATTTCTGGCTTCAAGTTACCCTACTACTATACGCAGAGGGAAACCGAGCGCAAGGAAGGCGAGACATGAAGGAACCTTCCAAAAATCCATCCAAAGGGCGCCAAAAAGGAGGCAGACTGTCTCTGACAAAGGGCAGGGCTGGCACCCTGGAGAGGCCAGGCAAAGGACAGAAACCTTGACACCTTGAGCTTGCAAAGGCCCGGAAAAGAACCCTTAAAACCTTGAGATAACAACGGGCTTCACGGGCTTAAAAACTTTTAGACTTCAAGGTCAGCCAAAAACCGTTAACTACAAAATGAAACGATGGGTAGGGCACGGGGAGTGAAGTTGGTGAGGCTGGGATTCTCAATGAAGATGACACGGGTGCTGGAACTTCGGGAGAGATGAAAGATCTGACAGGCACCACAAACCTCTAGTAGCTTCTTGTTACTACTAGTAAGGCCCTTGCTCCTAGTAGCAATGCACTTGTTCCTAGTAGCGATGCACTTGTTTCTTGAAAGGTTTGAAGTCATCTCCCAAAACCGAGCCGCCACGACCAGCGGTGAAGGCTCGTCTGAGCAGCCTCAAAGTGCGAGAAGGTGGACTAGCACTACTTGATGGGGGGGCCATCCACTGCTTCAGGAAAGCAGTAGACGAGGCTGAATGGGCCAAAGGCCAAGAGGTCAATGTGGAACTTGCCGCCAGTACAGTGGTCCTACGACTTTTACCCTGGACTGTACCGCTGGGTGTTCTGATCTCCCTTGGATATGAAGCAGTTTGGGAGAAGTCTCGCTTCGAGCGACCCAAGTGGGATGGTTTTTGACACTCAGGTGGACAACTCTTGCCCAGGAGCCAGACTGGCCTACTTGGCCGTAGAGGACAGTTGGGTGGAGCTGGACCTTGAAGAGGCCAGGCATCGCACAGAACTCCGTGATCTATTTCCAAGTGCCACACCATCTTCTGGAGCGACTACTTCCGAAAAAGGGCTATGGAATCGCCACGAGAGGCGACGTGTCAAAGCGGTGACTCGAAGAAGTTCTGGCAGGCTGAGAATCGAGTGGTCCTGTGCATTCATTTGGATCGGCTCTTGAGGAAGCAGGCTGAGAATGACACCATCCTGTACTTGAGGCAGCTGTATACCTTCACCATCAAGCCGCCCTCGCGCGAGTGCCACGGCAGACTCTTGCGGTGCTGGAACAGCCGGAAGATCCAGACTAATACGTCCGAGAAGAAGAAAAGGCGGTGCAGAGATTTGCCACCTACTGGAATTGGCCTGAATGGAATGCCTACAAGGAAAAATGGGAGAGGAGTGATGTGGGGCTGGACCAGGGTCTTGTTGGACACCGGCGGCGGAAACCAACACGACTGGGAACCAACGTGAGGAGCCTGATGCAACTCAAGACCTACGAGGACCTGGCTCCGGGCGAGGCGAAAAGCTGGCCGAGACCTTGGGAGCTTGGTCAGAATGGGCACCAGGACTGAGCCAAGGCCATCAGAGATGAGTTTCATGAGATGAGGCTTCAAAGAACAGGATGGATCTGGCGGCTTGGCAGCGGCACCTGGCGAATGACCACATCCACAACCGCGGATGCAAGCACTGCGTGGTGGCAGCTGCCGAGGGGCGAGCTAACCGTCGAGTACTACACCCAGCTTGTCGATCGAAGTCGCGGGGGCCCGTACCAGATGGACGCTACCTCCAGGATGGCCAGAGATTCCAATCCACGAAAGTGAGCTGGAAAAGGTGCCTGAACATGACCCGACGATTCAGCGGATCGTGAGAAGGAACTGGAGGCACAGTGGCCGACCTATGACGACGGGATAAGGGAGGGAGCCGGGGAACTGAGAAAGACTTCGAGGTGAAGCAGATCACCCTTGTGGAAGTGATGGAAAATCGAGGTGGCCCAGCAGCACTGGAAGCTGTGGGACGCATGCACGCCAGGCAACTTCCCACTCTGACCCAGCTGGGGAGTTCCAGTCGAAGGCACTGGAAAAATGGTGCCAGGACAGAGGCATCACGAGAACTTACACCGACGGCGATGACTTCAAGAGCAATGGCCGTGCGGAAGGGGCAACTTTTTATTTGCACAAGTGAAGAGAGGTGCGAAAACACTCTTCGTAGCAGCCAACCTTGGCGAAGATTGTTGGTGCCATGCTGTCAGGCATTTCGCTGAACGTCGTCTTCGGAACCAATTGGAAAGCATGACCTGGTGCCATTCGGGCTAAGAAAGTATGGGCCAAAAGGAAAAATACACGATCGCCGCAAGCATTGTGTCCGGCAGTGACCACCTGTATACTATGTCTGAGAGGTGGAGACTATCAGTGTGATACTGGTAGCCCAAACAACAGGTGGATGCGGACCACCACCGACAAAGCAAGCAAAAACAGGTCGAAGTCAAAGGCGCTCTCAAAGCGATCTTTTCCGTGGTCCAAGCGCCGAGTAGCGCTCGAAGGTCGTCGAGCAAGTGCCGCCAGCGTATGGCGGCCAGTGCAAAAACACGTAGCGCGTGTGCCTTCAAAGGCACCAGGCAAAAGGGTCCCCTAAATGGCGGCGGAATGGATCGGTGGCGAACGTGACATGCTAGGCTCGTGAATCAAATGCTGAAAGCAAACAGAATCACATGGGCGAAAGGTTTTCGCCTTAGATCCCTTCCACCGCTGCATCATCGAGGACCATGTCTCATCTTCGATGAGCTCAGGGTCAAATTCCGGTTGGCTCTCAGGCAGCTGCCGCTTCTTCTTCTTGGCGGCAACAAAGCCAGGGTCGTACTTCACGTTCCACAGCTGACCTTTGGCCATGAACATCCTCATCAGGTCGGCCGCGCTGGCCTTGGTCAGGCCGTCAGCTAGTTGGGCATCTGAACTGACCCAAAGCAGGTTGGTCTTCTGCTTGGTCATGTTCTCGCGAACTGCGAGAAGCTCGAGCGCCGAGTACTTCTCCTTCATGGAGAAGGCTGCACTTGCTCCATCGCCTTGGTGAAAGGCATCAAAGGCGCTCTCGGCGTCGATGACAGCTGCTGCGCTCACCTTGGTGGTCGTGAGCTCGGGGTGCAACAGGTTCATCTCATGGCCAAGGAGCTCAGCCCACAAAGCTCTGCAAAACATGAGCTCTTGCTCACCTTCTCCTAGAGCTTGAAGCTCTGCTGCCAAGGAGCTGCGCGCTGTGCGGTGCAGTTTGCCGCTGCGCCAGGCCACCAGGTTGACTGGTGATCTTTCACCATCCAAGATCCTCTTGTGGCAGAGACCCACCACATAGCCACCTGTCGAGGCCAAGTCTGGCCTGTTGGCCACAGCTGCATCTGTCCAGACGATCATCGTCAGGTCGTCGTCTGACATGGCGTCGAGCTGCTGAACTTTCACCGACAAATCTCTCTGCGAGTAGACCTCGCGTACCAGCTTGTTGATCTGGTGGAGCACATCCTTGGAATGCCGGCTGTGAGGCAGCATGGACTGCAGCAAGGAAAGGCGGGCAGCATGATGAGGTGCTGTCTGACTGACGCGCCACTGAATCGAGCCAAGGACGGCCCGAGCTTGTGAGAGCTCTTGAGGCGTCACCTCAGTGGTGGACTTGTCCAAGTCAATCTGCTTGATCTGGGAGGCATACTGGGAGTGGTCCAGGTGGAAACTATAGTTGCTCTGTTGATGGATTTCCACTCCACAATGCAGATAGGGATCTGGTTCCCACTTCTGTAGCGTTTCATGCCACAAAGCATTGTCTTCGTTGCCGGTGACAATGAAGTCGTCAACATGACTGGCAACGGCGCCCTGGACTTTGCCATGTTCATCTTTGCACACCCACAGGCATGGCTCGCAAACCAGTCGATGCATGCCACAAGTGGTCGTCGCAATCTTGTCGACATCACGATACCACTCACGGGGTGCTGAAACAAGGCCGTAGGCAGCTCGCAAAAGGCGGACGGTGTCCTTGGGGCCACAATTCATCTTGTCACCAAGCTCCTTCACAGGGAGCGCAAACACTCCTCGGCTCCGTTGAGATTCGGAGCCCTGGAGAAAGGCAGCTTTGGCGTCAGCCTTGATGGTGCGCCAATGGCGATGACACGCCAAGTTCAGCAACAGCATCTTGCTGCGTCTTGAAAGAGTTGGCGCAGCCTTGTCCAGGAACTCTTGGTCGGGGTCAGAGAAGCCCAAGATGACGATGCCGGCTTTCGCTTTGACACGGTTGGGCTGATTTGGATCGTCCACTGCCTTAAACACTAAGACCCACCTCATTTTCATCAGCCTGGACTTGGGCACTGATGCTCCAGCCTTTTCACAAACTCGATTGGCGAGCCAGGAGTCCACCTCTAACATCTTTGCCTCCAGCATAGCTTGCCTCTAAACGGGATTCAGCTTATGCCAGGCCACTTCGCAGCCCTTCTTGACTGCTTTGGAGGTAAATTTCTTTGGCTCCTTCAAGATCTGCCTCCACTCATCTTCATTGGCCGGTGCATCAATGGTCACCGACAGGATGAAGTCATTCTCCATGTTGGAGCACCAGCCAATCAGGTCAGGGTCTTGGTACTTCTTCGGGAACTTGGCATGGTGTGGTCTGTCCTCCATCTCATGCCGCTTCCTCTGATGCTGGAAGCTCTTTTCAGCAGAAGCTCTGCTTTCTTCCATGGGAGCGTCAGGAGGTTCGATAGGATGAAGTGGCATGTAGGAGGGGTCGTTCAGCAAGCGCTCTATGTCCAGCTCATCTGAATCGTCGGGGTGCATTCCTTCTTTCAAAGTTGGATCCATGTGCACCTCCGAGTCAGGAAGAAGTTCTTCAGACGAGGAGCTGGCAGGATCATCAGGTTCTTCCTCTTCTCTTACAGTTTTCAGCCTCTTGCCATCTTGGTGAGATGGGCGAAAGGTTTGTCTCCTTTTGGCTTCAAATCGCTCAGCCTTCGAAGTTGTGAGGTCCTCAAAGGCGCCCTTATGGAGTGAAGTGCTCATCATCGTAAAGGTCCATGGCATGGCCATCGTGCCAGAGGAGTTGGCAATCAGCAATTCTCGTTCACTGCCATGCCGAATCTGGTCGATGTGAGCCTTAAGCAAGCGTCCACAGCTTACCAACCAAATAACGCTTGAGGGCATTCGAGAAGTGCTGGAACTGTCCACCCTTGTCTCACAGGCCAAGACTCTAGCCGGCCCATACCAGCGAGCAATCCGCATGCGGGGCATGTCTACATCCTCGTTGGCAGGAGCACGTCGAGGAACTTTATGGCGCTGGTAGTAGACAACATCTCCAGGCAAGAACTGTCGGGCAGGCTTTGAGCGACTGTTCTTCGCTCGCGAAATGCGAGCATCAGCACTGAGCTTGTTGTGAAGATGTTCTGCTTCAATTCGGAGCCTCAGACTTTCAGCCATAGCGTGTCCAGGTGTTCCTTCGGAGCATGCCACTGCAGGATTCACTGACACGCTCTCCGATCGCCCAAATGCCCATTGCGCAGGAGCAAAACCACCCACGCGAACCACATGGTTGTGAGCTTGGACCATCGCACTTGCAGCACGTCGAGGTTCAATAGGCTCGTTCCGGAGAAAGGTTTCCATCTTCCAGCGAAGCTCTCCAATGGCTTTCTCAACAGCTCCTGTGGCGGCATGATGTTCAGCAGGAACATGAGTCATCTCAATGCCACGCTCGGAGCACCACATTGCGAGAGCTGTGCCGCGAAATGCCCCTTCAGCATCACATCTAATGCGTGCCGGGTAGCCGAAGATTTGACACCAAGATTCCTCCAGAGCAGTGATGACCTCTGGGGTTGAGATGTTCTCAGATTCATCTTCGTGGTGAACCTTGATCTCTCTCACCACGGCAAAGGAGCTAGCCTCATCGAGCAGGAGGAGGAAGTGATGCACCTGCTTAGCATGCTTGAAGTAGAAGGCGTCCATTTGAAGTGTCTTCCAAATGGTATCCTCTCGCTCTAAAGACACCTTGGTGGCAGGCGTTGCCGTTCTGCTTTCTTGACATTCAGGGCAAGCCAACTGTAGAGCTGCGGCTTTGAGTTCTTCACTGGCTCCTCTTGCACGTAGGAGCTTCAGCAAGGCACGGTTGTTTGGATGGCCGCAGAGACGATGAAGCTTGCGCACTGTCTCCATGAGATGTTGTAGTTCCTGAGGTGTGAGCTTCTCCAACACCTGGGGATCAGGCTCAACTTCAACAATCCCTCCAATGAGCTCGGAGGGTTCCAGCATGCCTTTGACCGCAATGTGGCACAACTGCTTGGTGTAGTAGGCGGAGGCCCGAGCACGTTGTCCAAGGCAAGGGACATGGTGATGCGAACCATCACAAAGTCTTGCCAAACCAGCCAAGGCTCGTGCTCTTGTGGTCATAAACCTCCATGGCTTCTTCACAGGGCCATCTGGAGACGTGAGGCCAAACATGCAGCCATCGCCAAGCACTTCGTGAGCACGGTCACATTGATGAAGAGCCTCCCAAAATGCAACCACTTCAGGAAGTTGTCATGCCTTGTTGAATCTCGGCCATTCCCAGGCGATCTCGCCATCCATGGAGAGGTGTTCTTGTAGAACTCGTAGTCCACCTCGAAGAACTTTTCTCGCATGCCTTTTCCGGTAGGCACTCTTGACTTTTCCTTCAGGGGTGCGTTCATTGAGAGCTTGAACTGCCGAGGTAGGGCCACAAGGAAAGCTGACCCAAATCCAACGTGGTCGATGTTGGCGAAGTAGTGCCAAAGTTCGCTCAACTCCCTCAGGCTTTGTCAGGTCACATTGGTTGTGTAACCCAGCACGCCCTGCTCGCCCACCTTGCCTGATAACTTCCGCGGTCAACAAGCTGGTGGGGTCACAACACAATTCCATGACGTCCCATTGCTCCAGGGACGTGATTCCGCCATGAGCTTTGAAGATCATATCGCCTTCTTCAACCAGCTCATTCATAGCTTCCGTCACGAAAGCGAACTCCTTTCGTGGGAATGGAGTCATGGTGCGATCTTCACCTTCAAGTTCACCAGGTTGTAGTCCGTCTGCTGAGAAGGAATCAAATGCTTCTCCCACCTTCATGCCATGGGCATTCTCAGTCTTGAACTGGTTCGGAGGGACTTTGACATTCGGTGGAACCTGGGCATTCTTCAAAAACCTGACATTCGGTGAGATCGGCTTATTCGAATTCATGAGGATGTCGTCCTTGGAGGTCAAGTCACCCGGTGGGTCCTCATCGTCGTAGCGACCTCCCGACTCCTCGGTGTTCACACTGACCTGGCTTCTCCTCCCCCGGAGGGAGGACTCACGGGCGACCACGATCGGTGAGATCGATCCTCGTACTCCACCTGCTCGGCCGGAAGATCTGCAGCTCGACGGGATTTGCTCCCAGGCACCTGTGAGAGTTCCTCTGCATCTGCTGGAGATGCCCTCTCTGTTGCCGTAGGTGTTCCCGGACTGGAGGTCAAATTGGTGCTCGGAGTTGGAGGAGCATAGTACCCTGCCGCTGCTTTGCGAGCCCGGATGTGATCGAGCTTGGTGAGCAAGGAACGCTCGGCTCCGTCCAGGCCCACTGCCTGATTCTTCAACAAGGGGTTGTATGGAGCCTTCTCTCCAAGTTCCTCGATCTGGTGCTTCGTGTCCTCCGGCAGGGGACCGGCCTGCCTGTGCAGACCTGTTGCTCCGTAAGCCGGCGTGTACGACAGGCGGAGGAGGCACTTCGCACAGCCGACCCATTTTGCATGGCCGTTGGAGCCCGTGACCGATCCCTTGTATGCCGGAGCAGGATCGTGCTGACCATGGCACGGTGGTCCCAAGGTCCGGGGATCTCGTGGATCGCTGAGCACCGTACGAGTCTCGTCGTACCTGTCGTCCTTGCTGGACGTAGCCTTCTTCTTCTCCTTGGTGGAGGCCGCTGGCGGGCTCTTGGCCTTCGAAGCAGCAGCTTGGGACATGGCTGCCCAGCAAGGCGAAGTTGACCGCGGTGGAGGCCAGAAGGGTCAGAGCCTTCCACGACATTGATGTCTCTTGAGCCTCAAGGTCAGCGTCATTCGCTCCAGTGGTCAAGGGTGGTCTCAAAGAAGTGGAGGTGGTCGAAGAAAAACGAACTGAAAAACATTCACTCAAAAACTCATCTGCAGCGTGCCCGTGAAGACTCTTGTACATGTCCAACTCAAAATCATCAAGCAAAACCGACAAACTCGAAGTGGCGGCATGTGAAGACTGTTCTGACTCATGGATCATGAAACACGACGACGGAGAAGGCTGCGAGCACATGTATTCCTCGGACTTCGTTGGTGCAGTGTCGGTCGTGAAGAGGATACGGGTGCCCTCACTCAACCAGTCATGGCTGAGGTCCATCACCAAATGCCCCGAAGAGGATTTCCTCAATGGAACAAGGAGGGAGGCATCAATCGCCGTCAGGACCATGGCAGATCTGCCACAGTCAATGAGCGCACCGAGTTTGGTGAGCGTGCGAATGCCAACCAAAACAGGGACACCTTGAGCTTCCAAGGTGTAAATGCCGAGCGACAGGCGGTGGTTGCCCAAACGCTGAGGCAAAAGAATCATACTCTCAGACTTCTGGGTCATGCCGTTGCCGAACTTGAACATCTTGTTGGGTACATCAACCACCTTGAATCCATCGGCATCAGATCCTGACTGGTGCCGTTTGCGCATGATCCATTCTAGGGCAGCCAACCCTGAAACAGTCTCTGTCGCTCCTGTGTCGAGCACTCCATACCCTTCCACCTCTGGGGATCCAATCTCATCAGCGACCATGATCTCCAGAGGCCGCTCAGGATGTGAAAGAGGGTGGCAAACAAAGGTCTCCACAGATTCGTGCTCATCAATCACCATGAACACCTTGCCACCTTTGCCGCTCCGTGACCGACGAGGACACGAGCGGTAGTCATGATCTTTTGCTCCACAAATGAAGCAACCTTGGTAGCCAGGGGATCCCGGCTTTCCGCCACCTTGGATGGCCATCACCGGTGAAGATGCCATAGGCGAAGTCGATGATGAAGGTCTCGAACCAAGCCCTTTTCCTTTTCCACCTTTCTTTCCAAAAGATGGTTTGCCTTTGAACTTGCCTTTGGGGAAGAAGCCTCGAGAAGCATTCTTGGCATGGGTCGCACGGCGGCTGTCTTGAAAAGACCTGATCTTCTCTTCATAGGCCGCATAGGCTTCCACAATGGGCTTCGATTCCTCAGGGGAGCTCCAAAGAACAGAGTTCCAAACATCGGCCTCTGACCATGACCAGAACGCTCCACCGGCATCCTGGTGATAGTACTCGCCATCGGCTTCCAAGTTCCACCACAAGTACCATCATCAGCTGCAAAGGTCTCCTCAATCTCAGGTCGCGAGGTCGAAGAGCTCTCCCAGGTTGAAGTCTGAAAGACCTGGTCATAGGACATCCCACCAAGCCAATGGATGTCATTCTCCAGGAGGTCTTCGTCTTCACATTCACCAGTGAGCATGAGGCCCCATTCGCCCTCATACTCAACCCAGAACTGCGGACGGGTCTTACCTTTCCCATGGCCTTTTGGACGGCCTTCGCGCTCTTTTTCCACAACACGAAGCTCGTCTTCTGCTCCTCTCAAGCCCTTCTCGATGTCGTCGGCCTTCAAAGAGTTGCCAATGCTTGAGAGGACATTCAAACGCTGTGCTGCGTTCAAGGAGGACTTGCGCAGCATGATCCAGCCAATCAGTTCACTAGGAAGCACTTCAGGAAGGCCAACATCCAGGTCGTCCCAAAAGTGGTCATTCTCGGGGTCCTCCTCGCTGTCAGACGGGTCAGAACGTGAGCCCCTGGAAGGAGAGTGGTAGTCCTCTTTGCCTTTTCCAGATTTGCCACCTTTTGAGGAGTGGCGAGTAGGAGATCTCGGGGGAGGCGGCTCTTCATCTTCTTCCTCATCTTCAGCAGCTCGCTGAGCTTCCTCAGCTTCAGTCCCTTCTTCAGCTGCTGGCTCGGGAGATGAACGTGCCCTCGAGGATGTCAAGGATGTAGTCCCAACACCCTTCAAATCAGGGAGATCTCCTCGAGCACGCTTCAAAGCTCGTTGCAGCTTCCGGTACTGCTCTCGGACTTGAGCGCACCACGTTGCCATGGATGTACCTGGCATGCGGCGTAGCCGCAACAGCAAAGCTTCAGCCTGAGAGCCAGCGTCAGGGATGGGAACTCGAGCAAGGCGTTCCTCCAAGAAGGATATCAAGTAGCGAGCACCATTGGCCTGGGTCAGGGCCTTGTAATCAATCTCCTGCGTGACGACCCAGGCACGTCCCGAGAGCTGGGACACCAGGTCGGGTCCAAGTTGTGCTCGTCGACGGCGTCTCGTCTTTTCAAATGCCAAGCGGACCTTTCTCACATAGTCCGGCCAGGTGCTGAAATCACCGTCCCAGTGACACCTCAAGGACATATCTTTGTCCTTTTCAGTCATGACTGAACTTCAGGACGGGGTAGTCGAGAAGGAGGGAGGTGTGCAGGACAAAGTACGAACCAACCCAAAACAAATGAACCAAGGTCCAAAGCCAAGCTAGCCAGTGCCGAGGCGGTCCTCAATGTCTCGTGCAATGAGTCTAGCCACCTTTCAACAAAGGGTCACCAGCCACTGTCCCCTGGATCCAAAACTCGTGCACCTCTTCTTGAAGAGCTCCGGAGTGATCCTCTCGCTCTCCAAGGTAGCCCGAGCCTTGCAGGCTCCGCTACCAGTATCAGTGTGATACTGGTAGCCCAAACAACAGGTGGATGCGGACCACCACCGACAAAGCAAGCAAAAACAGGTCGAAGTCAAAGGCGCTCTCAAAGCGATCTTTTCCGTGGTCCAAGCGCCGAGTAGCGCTCGAAGGTCGTCGAGCAAGTGCCGCCAGCGTATGGCGGCCAGTGCAAAAACACGTAGCGCGTGTGCCTTCAAAGGCACCAGGCAAAAGGGTCCCCTAAATGGCGGCGGAATGGATCGGTGGCGAACGTGACATGCTAGGCTCGTGAATCAAATGCTGAAAGCAAACAGAATCACAGAGACCGGGAAGACTACCGGAAGTGCTTCCATATGCTTCCATACAGGGTTGCCTCCTCGTTGATCGTGGCGATGGCATCTTCTGCGACTGCCCCCACCGCTCATGGACCATGCAGGGAATCCAGTCCTTGCGGTTGTTCCTGACCTCCGCCAGTGCATATGACCTGGTCTAGTGACCTGGTCTGTAGGAATGCTTAATGAGTTTCAGCGCCTTTCCCCATCTCCATCACCTTGGCAGCGATCTCCTCCTTTCCGGCCCGGAATGCCTCACATGTGATGTCCTCGATCTCTGCCGTGAGGGACTTGATGAACCTCTCGTTGACGTTTTCTCCCTCCTCCTCCTCGAGTAGCCTTTCCCACGATAGAAGGAAGGTTCCGCGGTGCTGCAACCCCCCCCAGCAGTCCAAGGTCCATCCCTTGGCCTCGTGAAGGTCTAAAGCTCTGTTGGCAAGCGTAAATGCCGTGCCGTTGCCGGCGGGAACTATATGAACCAGCAAACATCGACGGTGGAGGCACGAACCCTTCTGGCACACACAGCCGGCATGGGCTGGGAAGCGGGGACTGCAGATATGAAATCATTGCGGGGAAGAGCATCGTCATGGTCACCCCTCCAAAGATCTTTGTTGAGGCTGAGGTGCTTAGAAAAGAAACGACAAATGGCGGGTGAGAAGGGCACTATCCGGCTGAGTATCCGGAGAATACCAGACACAGTTTGAGTAACATCAGGCCGCCCGAGAACGAGGAGGAGAACACCACACTAGAGGGATCAGGATGGCACAGAAGCAGGCCGGTGAACTTTTTTGGGTTGTTGGCCCGACCTCTCATATGGTGTGTCTCTGGTGAGCCAATGGGCATCGAAGCGCCCAAGAGCGGTGTATGAGATCAGGGGACACCTGCGAGGCTACCTCAGAGAGACACCAAGGTCGGCTACAAAGCAACCTGTGGTGGAGACGAACCTGGTTTCAAGGTGAGAACACTGGAAGCGTTCAGTGATGCGAACTTAGGGCCCAACGAGCAGGAAAGCACCACGGGACCAGTGATCTGCTACCAGGGCTGTCCGTTGATGTGGCTTACTGCGAGGCAAACCTTTGCACTCAGCACGGCTGAAGCTGAGCTGATGGCACTGTTGGAGGCGATGGGTGGTGTTGAGATCTACGGCATCCTTGATCAGTGAGATCACGGTTTCAGCTCCATCCCTTCGAATGTGCACGGACTCGAGGGCGGCACTGGCTATTTCTCAGGGGCCTACGGCATCATGGCGCACAAGCCACCGAAGCCGTAGAGAAGGAACTTCACTGAGCCTCACCCACCAATCGGGGAAGGAACTGATCGCTGACCTCTTCACCAAACAGCATCAAAGAGCTACAGGGACAGCTGTTTTCGAGCCATAAGGCTGGACTGGGCCTGAAGGCGCCTCAGGAGGAGATGGTGGAGGTCAAGAAGGTGGATATCGGCCAAATTTCGATTGAAATTCAGTTTAAGAAGGGGATTTGACTGCTGGCATTGCAGCGGGCCTGATGAACAGCGCTGAAGCGATGCGGGGTTGAAGCGGTTGCGGCAAAGTCGGGGGGGTGGTGAATGGTGGATTGTTCACCTGATCACAGTGGCGGTGGCCATCATTATAGGGATCTCATCGTCAGAGTGAGCACCACAGCTGGAATCAACAGATGGCTGAGACCTGCAGAGGAGCTGCATGAGAATAAAGTTGCCCTCTTCCAATGCCCCCTGGCGACCGCGTGCTGGTGAACACGGGCATGGCGATTGAGTTTCCTGCAGGGACCTCCGGCCGTGTGGCTCCCAGGTCAAGCCTGGCGATGCGTGGTCCTGGTTGATGAGTTCCCTGACCTCGTGCCACCACTTGCCACCCCGTTGAGTCACGCATCACCCAGGTTCCACCATAAACGGTCTAGGGCCACAAGCCGTCGTGGCGGTCCCATGCTGATGGTCCCAAACCCAACTTCTCTCACCTGGCCTGCTTCATCCGGATCATATGGTGTGCGCACTCGTAGCTCTTGATCATGCCCTTGATAGTGATCCGGTGGTTCTCGGAGCACACGAGACTCCAAGGAGATAGCCCAGTGCCATCGAGTTTTGGTGTTTGAGTCTGGGCATCTTCCATGCGGATCTCGCTGCCTGACCTGGCATGGGCCACCCTCATGGTCCTAACAGAGATTCTGCCCGCCGGGTTTCTCGTGCCAAGCCCCTGGCGCTGGTAGAGCGGGCCATTGGCGTTTGCCCATGGATAGGCTTCTTCATGAGCTGAATAGCCGACACTTCGACTTCCCCTGGCAGTCTCTGATGCCTCCGAGGCATCGGCCACCATCAACTCCAAACTCCGTGATGTTTGCGCAGGCGGGAAGCCAAGGGGAGCGCGGAAGGCAAGTCCAGCAAGTCGCTGAGGAGGGGGGCTTCCGGGGTCCTCGAGCCGCATGGGTGAGCAGGCCCGACCAGCGAGCAATGTACGCCTGGGCTGTTGCTTGCCTCAAGGGTGCAGGTACTCCACGGCTGCGGGCTTGGGCCAAGGACCTGATGAAGGTCGCCGCCTCCCCGCTCCATCGGCCCCCCACTTCCATTGCCAGCCCCCCACGAAGGAGTTCCGGGTAAGTGCGTTCTTTTGCTCGCCGTGCATCTGCCAATGCTGCCCCGGTGAAGTCCCCCCCCGTTGCCGAGGGTAGCCTGTGCTAGTAAGGGGGGAGGCCAATGTGGTGTCCACATGTGTCCACTGCCAATTGGGCTCCTTGATGCAAGGGCAGTCCATTTGCTATGACTTCGATGCGTCTGTTGTCCAAACGCTGAACTGCGGGGACGTTCAAGTCGGACAGGAGTGTGTGCGTTGTTACCCGGGCCCCGGCCTCTCTGCATACCCGAGCCGCTGCCCATTCCAATGCCCCCCCCACGGCTCCGTAAGACCCCTGATTGAGCACACGCTGCGCGATGGTCGCAAAGCAAGTCCAAAGTGCGACGGCATCGGCAGGTGCGGGCTGCCAAGGGAAGAGGGAGACGAAGACGGCGAAGCAACAAGATGCGGAAGAGATGCGAGGGGTACGTGAACTCTGGGGCTGATGGGGATTGTTGTGAAGGTGCGACTGGAATGTGGTCCTGACTGGGAGGTCAACAAGGCTTGGCTGGCGGGGTCGAGGGTGTGGAGCAACTGGGTTCGGAAACTGGTGTGGATGGCTGCGGCGGCTTTGTGTTGCCAACCTCGCTCGAAGGGTCCGTCAATGGCGGTGTGCGGTGTCGGGGACGCGCCGTTGAGGATTTCTAGCCATGTTGGGGGGTTCCAGTCGGGGCCCTGCAAGGCGTCGGCTGCATCAAGTGCGGCCTGGACCGAGTGTGGTGCTGGGTGGGAGCGCTCTAGACATGGGAGCAATTGGGCTGTGAAGTGGGGCAATTGTTGGTGCAGTATGGGGAGGGTGTCCGCCCAAAAGGCCCAATATGCTGCGGGGGCAAGCACTGTAGCAGATGGCAGCCCAAGGCCGCCGAGTGCAAGTGGAAGGTGTGCTCTGCCAAGTGTTGTTGCTGCGAAGCCGGGTTGCCCCAACAGTTGACGTAAACGACTGGTGACCGCAACGTCATGTTCGGCCGCAAACTCGGTGGCGAGGGCTGGAGCTGTGGTGCGAAGGATAAAATTGCTCCGGGGGCTGGCGCAAAACAACAACAAGAGCCAAGAGGCTTGGAGGTCATCCAGAGCAGAACTGTTCATGGCTGTGGTTGATGTGCTGGAGTTGGTGCCGCACGTATGCTTCAGAACCTAGGGGAGTGCCGAGGACTGTGAGTCCTTGCTGGTGGCTGGGTAGGGTTGGGTTGCCGACCCACTGGCTGGGCCCCCCCTATGGTCTAGTTTTCACGGGCCCACAACCAGGTCAATTTTTCGTAATACTCTTACTACTACTACTACTACTACTA